CAAACGTTTTCGTGCAAGTTTTAAGAAAGAAAAATATTCGTCATGCACGTTGTATGTTCGAAGCTGACGGGCCTATAGCTGCGGTAGCAAAAGTATTAAACTGTCCTGTACTTAGTTTTGACTCTGACTTTTATATACACGGAACATTGTATATACCATTTGACACACTCGGTGATCATGTAGTCAGGACTCGAAGAGGCAAAGCGATGCGTTGTCAAATTTACAGATATGAATACTTCCTACGTATTTTCAAAGGACTGACTCATCATACATTGTCTTTAGCTGCAGCGATACTCGGAAGTGACGTTACAATAAAACCAGAGATGTTAAAAATTTTTTTCTCTAAATTCGAAGCATATGGACCACAAAAATATAAGCAAATCATGCAACAAACATTTACTTGGCTCAGCAAACGTACCTTGGACGAAGCTATTGCTGAAATCTTAAGTGGAATACCTAAATCAATGAGACAACGAATGTTAGATGCAATAGAATTACACATAAATTACTATACCTGTATAAATCTACCCGAAGCAGTGCTTGCACCATTGATTATTGCTGAATGCCCTAATCATTACATAACATCAGCTTACAAATTTAATAAAGATATTGAAAGTTTACCGTTCAGAGGAATGTACCCCGAGGAGGACTTTGAAATGATTGACAAAAACATTAACAATGATATGATCGTAATAAGAGATATACTTATAGAACATACCAAGATTCAAAATGGAAATGATTTGATTATTAACAGGTTACCCAGATGGTTTGTGGATGAGATTGCTAAAGCTGAACTTCCATCAGTTTTAATGAACTACATAGTAAAACACACGAGCATACTACCAATACAAATAGAAAACTTAGATCGTCCTTCGAGTAGCTTAATAAGTTTGAAAATTGTTAGCGTTACATATGGACTTACATCATCCTTGATAAATGACAGGAAAACCTACATGAAATATGTATTTAGGGACCAAACTTTAAATTTCGTATGTAATGCATTAGAAGGGACCAAAACGGTACCTTTATTAACCCTTAGAGACCTTCCATTAAGTACTCGAAAGGAAATTTTAGACGATGCACTCGGCATCAAGAACATGAAATGTATCGATGAACTTTTACCAGAATGGAGATTGTATATTGGTTGTATTAAGTATTGGACTGATGAAGAAAAAGTGTACAAATCGCATATATGTTACGTGTACTCGATAATTATCTGTATCTTATATAACATAATAATTTCAAAGGTAGGACAATACAATTCCATAAACAGCTTCCAAGAGGCATATGGTAGTTTAATCGAGATTTCAAAGAATAGAAGACAGGCATGCAGAAACAAATTAAACATCTCGAAGAATGTTACGATTGATCAGGCTCGTTCAGGTATTGATATGATGGATTGTCTTTTAACCGCGTCATTTTGTATTACTAATTCTAAAATGCAACCAAATGAATATTTTAATAAAAAGGTTGGTATGTCTATTGCACATGCATTTTCACAATTTCAAATGTGTTTACTTACCGCCATTGACTTGAATGCGCTATTGGGCTGCCCTTATCAAGAGCCAATCGTAGCGAATTTGTTTAACGGTACATTTTTGTACAATGTGTGTAGGGATTTGCAAGCATCCGATGACATAGATAAGTGTTAAGGTAAGAGGTTTGGAAATGGCTTTGTGGTACGGGCGACCATTTATGAGTTTTTTGTAATCCGTTTAGGGCGATGGCAATTTCTTTAGCGGACCGGTTTGACACATAAATTAAATAGTTTTAGGATGATAAAGGTCATGCCATCATTTAGGTTCTGGAAACCCTTACCATAAAGCCCCAAGGCTAAGGGGCCAGAGAATCGGCCGCTAGATATCGGCATCGGCAATCCTGGCCAGCTGGAATTTCCCGGCCTTTCCAAACACCCCTCCACCCGCAAGCGCAAGCGGTCCACGCAGCCATCCCTACCAGAGACAACGTGCTTCGGGCACATTGGAAGGGATGGCCGGGGTTTTTTCCGACTCCACGAAAGGGAGTAGGGTAAGGCCCAAAGGACAGAACACTTTAGACCTTCAGAAAGCACAGAACACTTTAGACCTTCAGAAAGCACAGAACATTTTAGACCTTCAGAAAGCACAGAACACTTTAGACTTTCACACAGGACAGAACAGAAGACAGAGAGATACGCGTAACGGTTAGGTTGCGCGTTACAAATAGAGTACTAGCAATTCATTTAGTCCCACTACAGTGGGTGGTCCTTCGAGTTAGTCGGCACCAAGTGCAATATTCAGAGGATCTCCGTCATCCATCTGATGAGTCCTCAACAATAAATATGTAAATAATATTTTTGAAGATTCGCCAGCTCTCTTAAGACTATTCAATGTATTGTTGTTAAAAGTAAAGTAAATCAATCATATTGTATCAAAATGTACATCAAGCATATAATATTATATTAAATTACTTCATACAGAGTAAAACGAAACACCCATATGTATACCGAAGAATAAAAATATCTCGTATTACGTGTTTATTCTTTCTTGCAATTACGCTGTCCAACAAATTGTAACTTTTCTTGATTTCAGCAATTTCGTTTACGGATTCGTGTTTGGGAAGTAACATTCTACAAAAAATCGTGTTGAATAATATTATTAGATTGTACAATTCAATTTTAATTATTGTACTAACTGCACTATTGCTGACCGACTGGCAATACTAAACCGCGTTTCCTTTCGTTCTCATTTTCTCAACAAACTGTTTCACTTTTTAATAGTTAAAGGTTTAATTGAGTCTGCCATCAAAATCCCATGTTTCTCGTCTTGCTATCATACTTTAACCCTTTGCACTCGAAGCCATTTTAACCGTAAATCTAAAATAACTTTTCTGACTTATGGTATTTCCATTTTATATGACAAAGTGCATTCTATGCATATGAAATTGAGTCTTGCGATGACTTACGATGATAGTCAATGATTTTTTAAATTTAAACTTCGTTAATATAAAAATTATCTTGGAACGTGAACTAATAATTTTAGCGGTGCTTCAGAGTCACCACTCGAGTGCAAAGGGTTAAAATTAAGTGTTCCAGACTTTTCTTTGCCTGAAATGAAATATGACCACTTTTTCCTTGTCACCACAAAGACAAGGCGGTCAAGGAATGAAACAAATGTATTGTTCTGTAATTATGATAAGATCGGGTTTACTCAAACTTCGTACAATATTGTTTATAACATATCGTTGGATAACGAAGTTTATCAAAGATTTCCCATAGAAACGTTTCTATAATTTCAGTATCTGTAATCGACAAAGTCAAAAACCAGTCATTGTAACTTGTTTGGTAGTTCTAGTGTTAAAGGATCTCTTTTAAAATTTCTCTTTTTAACACCTCGAATCAATTTTGACGAATGCATGAGCAGTATTGTGTTTTATTTCTAAATTCTAGCTACCTTTTCTACATAATGTACTTGGACTCGCAAAACTCCCGTAATCTAATTACGAGCAGCACAATGGTAGGTACGCATGCAGTGTATACTGTGTACTTTTCGGGGCGCGCATAGTTGTACGAGTGGCGAAACGTCGAAATTGCCGAGGACCTCGTCGGATCCGCTTTATTCTGTCCCAGTGAGTGGCAGCGGTTTCTTTCTCACAATGCAACCCGTCTTTACTTCAGAAGGACCGCTCGCAAGCGTAACAGCGAAATCTTATTACGTTCTATAAAAGAACGTGCCTACTGTACGTAGCCGTGGCTCGCAGAGAGGAGACGAGACCAGAAGAGTCGGATGCAGCGTGTGCATGCGATCGCGCTTTCATCCTCGCGCGTTCGCGCGCGCTCACTCTCGTCTACCATGATTCATCCGGCTTTCATGAGAAAATGCAATTTTTACGGCACGACGCGAGGCACGGCCTTATGTCACGCGCTATAACAGCCGCTATTACGACCGCCCCGGTAGACATCCCTGAGACAAAGCTAACCGGTTGCTCCTTCTCGGATGCACCGGCGACTGCATTATCGCATACCCCTTGCGAAATCAACGGAACGTATATATACCCAAACACGGAACGCGTTCTCTCGTCTTTTCTTCCTGAAATTCCGACTTGGGAATCCTGTCTTTGGACCCGCGTCTCGAGCTCTTCGCAATTATGCTTGAAACCGTCGCGATTTTATAATGCAGAATGTTTCGCCTGGAACGGGCTTCCTAATTACTTTCCTCGACTATAAAAGCTATGCTACGAAAGTATCTCTTGTGTCGTACGTATGTTATCAAAGAGTGAAGCAAATGGGGAACTATATTTTATAAATGTCTTTTGTTCCCGTATTCCTCCGAGATCATTCGCGTCCCATCCTTTATCCGAGCGTTCATTGAATTCTGGGAATCCGCAGCACGATCTGTAGTCTAATGGTCAATGTTAATACTTTTTAATGTGTTCCGGCCGAATCGCGGACCGCGGATCAACGCACGTTCGACTTTCGATGTACGCCGTCTCGCCGTTTTTGTCGAATAAACGGCGAGGCGGCAAGACAATAACACGATCGACGTGCGTTGGCCCGACCGTCAAACGCTCGCCTCGGCCTAAATGTATACGCGGTGTTTTTGCCTTAGGAGGCAATGACCGGCCTTCGACGCCTGACGATGCTTCTCCTTGAACATCGGCCAGGTGTCTATATATACTGCCGCAAATTTGATAACGGGGGATTCTCCAAGATATCGTTATCGTTAACAGTCAAGTTTTATTTAGTGCCCCTTGCGCCCATACGAAGCCGTGCTTCAAATCTTATACGTCGAACGGAGCCGTGCTCCAAAGATTGTAAACCGAAGGACTGTGGAGTCCAAATCACGACTTGCGGCGGTTTAATTTTGTGCCGTGCGCAACATAATAAATTGTTTTATGCACTGTGAAACGAATCAGGTTTACACTTAATGCATTGGTACCTGTAACAAGACGATATTTATTTACAGTATCAGTGTTGCTCTTAGTAATAGCAAAATTAAAAAATATTATTTTAGTCATCGCATAGTAAACTAGTCCCTCTAACATTAAAACAAAGTTCAAGTGAAAAGTCAAAGTTCTAAAGAAATTTGTCCGTAAGTTTCTATTCAAACACAGAACAATACAGTCAAACCTGTTTTTGTGCGGTAGATAGGGACCGCACAAAAACAGATTTGACTGTATACGAACTACAGGTCGCTAATAATAGCTCTGTGGCGTCGCATCCCTCTACCTGAGCGCGGCCGCTAGCAATGAAACAAGTACCGTTCCTAATCCTCAAAATTCCCTAAAAAACACGCACCCCTAATAAAACAATTCTCCTCACATCTGGACACCTCGACCCGCACGGGACTTTTCCAACTTTCTCCTTTCCTACAAAAGTCCATCTATTCCTTTCTTCTCTTCCACTATAAAAGAGACAAACGCGCAACTCAAAAAGCTCAGTCTGTCCTAAGTTGCTAGTCCTACGACACCACGCTAGTCGCGCCCGCGCTCATCGATAACAATTCAATAAACTGCATTAATAGTAACCTCAAACACGCGCTCCGATTCGCTAACCTTTAGCGCTAAAGCTCCATTTTATCATTTAAGCATTACAATTACTTCCTAACAGTACATACTTAATTTCTCTTGGATATTTTAAATTTTGTATGGGAGCAGAATTATCGATTCACTGACGCAGAAATTGGAAACAAAAGATCCGTCGATGGACGCGCGAGTGTTAACAATCGCGCTGCGCATTGGTGGGATTACACGTGAACGAAATTCCATTCAGAAAAATTGAATCGCGCGATCCAATCGGTCTGCTGTCTGATGATATCCCTGTGTAAATAGAAACAGTAGCTCACTCGCCAAATAAAGGTCCATTTATACTAACGTCAACACGCCGCAACGTCACGTCTTTTCGAAATCCACAAAGGTCACCGCCCATCTTGAGAAAATAAACGTGGCTTACCGTTTCCAAACCTCTTGGAACCTCGCCTTACCCTCTCGCGCCTCACCTACATGTACCTGCTCGCTTCTCCCACTCTTCTTATCGAGACCCCGCTTCCCATCCTAGGGATACATTTGATCTGTATAGTCAAGGATTAGGTAATAGATCCTACAGTAGTGTAGAGTATACAGGGTGGCCCACGCGCAATTGTTTCAGACCATAACTGCGAAAGGAAGAAGATAAATGGCGCGAAAAGCACTACATCTTTAGGATTTTAGTTTCTTTTTTTAAGTACATCGGTGCATGTGCCATTAACAATTGCATTATTCCCTTAAATAGAAATGCATATCTTTTATTGCACAGATCGATTACTCTGTTCATTCTATGTAAAAAATTATTAGGGTATCATGGCAAAAACATTATTGATTCTCGAGATATTGTCGAAAATGTCTATTGAAGTTGTTAGAACGCTTCTCCATTACATTGTAAACATTTCTGATAACGTTTTCTTTTATTGTTTTCATAACTGCGTTAATACGAGTCACACCTGTCAATATATGAATACTCGGGTACAATGCTATGTCTTTTTTTTAGCTGTGTACAAGGTGCTTCTGGTATCATGTCACTTATTGTGCATAACGATTCGCTATTTCTTACAGATTGAAAACACACAAATAATATTTTTCTAACAATAATGTTTATTGGCACAATACATTTTATATCAAAAGCTGTCACATTAAATGT